GGACCTCCAAAGGGACCCTAATTTAGAGAACTACCCACTGTTGCTGGGCTGCCTGGCTGTTTGTGGGGAACCCTATACCCTAAACCCTAGGAACTCCCACCCTCCTACTTCTTGAAAGTTAGACTAGGGTTTTCGGTTTAGGGTTTAGGGTTTAGGGTTTTGGGTTTAGGGTTTAGGGTTTAGGGTTTAGGGTTCCTTGAAAGGGTTGTCTGGGTAATTATTTGGGCCCTATATTACCCAGAATACCCTCCATTGTAGTCCCGTTCTGGGTTCACCCTAGACTCGGCTGCCCCAGACCCCTGACTCATAAACCTCCGTTCTTCAAGGGCCCTCATGTGAGGATGCCAATTGTAATCTTTGTTTTAGATGGGGTGTTTCGTTAATCAGAGGTCTGCATTACAAGGAACAGCATTGAGACTGCAGCCATATAGCCCAATGTGACCCTAATCGTCCAAAAGCTCTTTCCTCAGCTTTAAACCGTGCAGCACCCAAATTGCTACACCCTCTTCCGTTTTGAACGAGATCTCTCTGAAGTGCCTCCAAGCTGCCCGAAACCCTAAACCCTCACCCCTCCTGCCTGCAATCCCAACTTCCGCCCCTGCTGCACCAAATACTGTGCAGCGGCCGCTGCACGGCCCGCGGTCGAGTGGGAGGACTCCTTCAATACCGTGCCTCAACCCTACTTTCAACTACCATAATACAGGAACCTGTATAAGAAACCCTGGGCCGTTATTTGGGTTCCCAATATTGAGCCCGAACATGTTGGGCTTATAGGGCCAGGGTTGCTTAATCAGGTTCCTACATTAACCTACGGTGTTCCTCCCAAAGGTTCCTGAGTACGTGTACAGTAGAATGTATGGTTTCTATATTAGGCGCCGTTGTTATGATTTGAGAAATATCCCCCCTACCAGTACCTAGGACCCTTGGAGCGCTAGACTACCATAACCTCTTTTTTGTAGGTTCTTATTACAAAACCTATCACAAAATTTGTAGGGATCCTACCAAACCATAAGGCTTTGGTAGTTCAAGGTAACATCTAGTACCTCACCTTGGTTACTGTAGTTTGAGAACTAGGAGCCACCATAACATGTAGGTTGTCCAAAACAAGTACGACATTCGAGGGGCCGAATATGATTTGAGGCAAACATAGCGTCTGGGGATCTCTGGATCAGTCTTCAGAATCAAGAGATCCTGATTTCTATGTACCCGGTATATCGCTGCTATAAAGGCAGGCTACTAAGTTGCTGCTGCTCTTGCCCCTGACGCAATGAAAGATACCAAAAACAAAATACGCCACACCAGAACTGCGATGCGACCATTTCGAACACGCTCTCCTCCCCTCTACGACCTAAGGGCTTGTGAGATTTCCAACCCCACCCCAACTTTAGATAACTTTAGGGGGGCATAGTACACCTTGAAGCCTAAACCCCAAACCTAGTACTTATTCAGACCTCTGTTACATCCTCGAAGTGACCCATACTCTCAATGAGGAAATCCTGGAATAACGATTTAAACTCGATGCTAATTGAACACTGAACCTGAAATCCAGTGACAGTATGGGCCTCGGGAAATCAGTATGTATGGCTCCGGTTTCGGTGTCATTGTGTGTTTCATTCTTAGGACGGGACTTTGAAATTAAAGACCCCTACAAGCCTCACGCCTTAACCCGACTCTTGAATCCTCAAGATCCCCAACAAACCCTAAACTGCCCCAAACCCTACCTTAACCCCAAATAACCTACCTTTCTAAGGACTTATAGAATAAAGAAATCATGATAAGGAACCCGAAAAAGGTAGGTTCTTGGGGGTCCAGGTAAACCTTCTGGAACCCTTGCAGGAGCCCTTTCTCAACCCCAAAACTCTAATGCAACTCCCAGGTGTCCTCCTGGAGGAAAGACACCGTCTTGCCCAAAAGGTCGCGAGATTCGTCGGTGCGGAGGACCTTCCATAAGCGATGCTGGCCATTCGCACGCAGGGCCCCAAGGAAAAAACAAAAAACAACTGTTGAAGATGCTATCCCTGCAACTGGGGTGGTTTTCAATACTGCTTATGTAGATATTTGGTAAATATCAGCTCTAAGAGACTTCATGGGTTGTCTTCATTAGCGGGTTTAGGGTTGCAGCACGAAAGGGTTACCACACCGTCACAGTGTCTGGAGACTGTGCTCTTCCCTGCATGACCGGTGGCCTTACCCTGAACCCTAAGCCCTAATCCCTAAAACCCTGGAGCCCGGAGACCTTAGTGCCCGAAGCACTGGAGCCCCAAGCATCCTAATAATATAGGGGCCTTTATAATTAGAATAGGGTTTAGGGTTTAGGGTTTGGGGATATAGTATACTATGATTATAAGAAGGCACCCCCCAAAACCCTATTCTAAAATTGAGGCCTCTACATTAATATCCCAAGTTCTGTCGTCTCAACCTCCAGCGCCTGACATCTTCCCCACCGACGATGCCACTGGGAGCCTTATAGATTGAGTGTACACGGACTATGTGAAGAGCTTCCACTTGGAACATTAAACCGGGTAGAACCGTAGGCATTGAACCATAAGTATAGGTGTTCCAGGACATGTCTAAAGAAACCTAAACCCTAAACCCTAAACACCCTACACCCTAAACCCTAAACCCTACCGAATCCAAAGCACCTGCAGGGTCTTGGAGACGGCTTCCATTTCCGCAGCCCTCGTCTTGATGCGCTCCTCTGAAAGCTCCGTTACGGAACACGCCATGGTTTAGGGTTTCGGCACTCACGCTCGGACACTCCAGGCGAGGCACATGCTTTAGGGTTTAAGGGTTTCAGTGCTCATAGCCGCAAGCCCTTTTTTTGAACCCAGACTCTGCCGATCAGCTGGGAAGCAGCATTTCCGCAAACCCTAAACCCTAAACTCTAAGCCCTAAATCCAACTGGAATGGGCGAGGCAACACAGGACTGACGTAAGCACAGTAGCAACCTGTGTGCGATCGGCATGGGTGCAGCTTCATTGCAAACTCTCTATTGTGGGCTATTGTGCTACTACTTGCTACTTGTATTGACAGGATTCCTACTGATGACGACTATTGATCAGATCAAAAAGTTTAAGCCTACTCAGCTACAAGGAGTACCAGTGCCACACTATTGCCACAACTGACACCTATGACCCAGAATGACTCTCATCATCCCAAGACTGTTTGCCCGGTTTGCCCTAAACCCGCGGCCCTCCAGCCCCCGAACTGAAATAAGCCGTAACATCCGAGAACCTCAAACCCACAGTTCAAAGGTTCATCTGCTTTTGGGTTCCAGACACACTCCCAAAGGGTCCAAGTACCATTATGGTAGGTACTTAGTAGGTATTTGGGCCCCAACAGTATATACTATACTAGTACTTGGACCCTTTGGGACTGAGACATGGCACATAACAACACAAGAGTTGCTAACACAAGTATCTGATTCCCCTGTCGATCCTGGTATTTCTCGTCACTTCCGGCGCAGCGCTTGGCCACGGTTTCTTTGAGCTTCCTTGCTGGAGCATACATGTAGTATCAGGTTTGGGGCATCTGTCCCAGAACGATTGAGGCTATAGAGGCCGTAGGACGTTTTGAGTTTAGAGGCCTCATCAAGAACGTACAGCGCAGTCCTGTCGTTCGGGCGACGGGATTCTGGGTTCAAGGGTTTACTTTCGAGGGCTGAGGGCTCGGAAAGCAAGCTTGAGGTTCTACTTCTTATAAGGGTGCACGGGCTGAATAAACCCTAAAATACTAAAACACTAAACCCTAGACCGCTGGCCAGGGTATGTCGGATTGAGGGCTAAGCGATTCTGGGTTTAGAGCTCGAGGGCAGCGGGTTCAGGTTTAAGAGCTAAGGAACTCTGCGTATGTTTTGTTGTTTTTCGTCTCTGGGCCCTCCATAAAGACCTGTAAAGACCTGGGAGAAGAAGACTTCTTCCAAGATGCACGTCTTCACCCAAGGAATCCGTGGTGGCCTTGATGTCCTGCCGACGATCCCATCTTAAGGGGAGGTGGGCAAGCTTGGGACTAGGAGGCCTTCTTACAGCTACAGGCTGATTCCTTTAAAAGGGCTCCCTTGAAAAGTTATATATGGGCTACTATAAGGGTTCTAGAATGGGGTTTTGGGGTGTTATACTATACTAGAATTATATAAGAAGGAGTCCCCAAAATAATATAGCAACCTATTCAGGCTCCTATATTGCAGGCTGAACACAAAAAGCTCCAAAACCCTGGAACCGAAACCGAAGCCTAAACCCCTGAATCCATCTTCCCCAAGCAACCTTTGCAACAACCGTTATAGTATCCCTTGTAGTACAACCGTAGCAACCACCCTAAACCCTAAACGCCTACGAAACCCTCAGGAGCCTAGATCGCTAAACTGCCAGATCTTGAAAGGACTCCAACTGTCAACTGCGAAGGCCGAAGCATACCAGTGCCTTCAGCGCCTCAAAAAGACGACTATCCTCGATAATCCCTCGGAGTTTTGTTATACAAATGCAAAAACTCTTCCTGAGAACACCAACGTCTCAACCTCGAAGGCTAGGAGCCTGCCTCTCCCCAAAACCCTGGAACCTGACCCCTCCAGAAGTCCTGCAGCTTAGATCCTGAATCTCTGTAGGGTTTAAGGTTTAAGGTTTAGGGCACCCTAAAACCCCATGTCCTAAGCAGTTTTTCTTTCGAACCCTACGAGGCTTCAGAATCCTTGGAACGTTAGACACCACTAAACGAGACCGCTATGCAATCACACAGAACCACTAAACTCAATAAAGCCGCCACACAACACCCTCAACCCTAAACCCCAACTTTTTCACAAGGGACTACCCTAAACCC